GTGCTGTGTGCCAGTGTAGCAGGAAGACTGCTCTTTTTGTCCTTGCCTGTCAGATGCCTTCCCTGTTATAGCAGCCACAGGCTACTTTCTAGAGTGTTGCCAAAACAAAACTTCTTAAGCAAACAAGGAAATATGCTAAATCTGTAGGTGTAATTTCACTGCTCACTGGTTATGTAATACATTCATATTTTGCCCCTAAAATGAAAGACAAAACAAAATCAAAACCAAAAAATTTGTAAAGGGGCCCCTCTGATTTGTAGCAACCAGTTCTTGCTTTGGTGACCCTTAAAGTCCTCTAGTGGCAAATATACAATTAAAATGTTTACATGCTGTGAAAAGGCAATAACTGTTAAAGCCTCTGGGCAAAATTATCATAAGTCAATGCTATAATAAATAACTTAGAACTTATTTATGAGAATCAACCTAGTTTACATCTCTGCCCTTGATCTTATTTTTTCTCTACATGTGTGGGTCCTTTCTGCATCCTTATACCTAAATTCTGTACCTTTTATATAGATTTGTTTCTAGAAGTAGAACCACTGGCTGAAAAGTGCACTTCTCATAGGCTTTGGAGGACATTTATGGCCAAATTGCTCTTTAGTAAGGTGAAGATACTTCCACCAAGAATGTCATTCCTCCAAGTGGGACCAACCTAGGGTATTTGCAAACTGATGGCAAGTGATAGTATCTTAAAATTCCGCTTTTTGATTATTAGGAAAGATGAACTTTCTTCTAAGTGTATGTATTTATGTGTGTGTATTTTATTTAATGAATTACCTAGTCATGTCTTTTGCCCATTTTTTTCTTTTTCTTTTTGGGTATTTATTTTCATCTTATAAATTTATAAAAATTCATAATTTGTGTCCTGGCTGGGTGGCTCAGTTGGCTGGAGCATCGTTCCAAACACCAAAAGGTTGTGAGCTCGATTCCTGGTCGAGGCCGGTGCAGTAGATGTTTCTCTCTCACATCAATGTTTCTCTTTCTTTCCTCCTCTCTCTCTCTCATTCCCTTCCTCTCTCTCTAAAAAATCAATAAAAACATATCTTAGAGTAAGGATTTAAAACCTCCCTCATAATTTGTAATTAACTTTTTCTTATTGTGTATGTTATAAATTTCCTTTTAGCTTATAGTTTGCTGAGGAAGTTTTAAGTGTATTATATTCAAATTTATGCATTTTCCTTTGTTTTGCCTATATTTGATAACTTTCTTAGAAATAACTTCCCTGCTCTAAGATTATATAAACATTTACTTATCATTTTTTCAGGTACATTGTTTAAGTTTTACATTCAAATCTATAATTTATCTAGAATTTATTTTGTGATAAGGGAGATTTAATTTTATTTCCATACCAAATGGTTAATTGTTTCAGCAATATTTTTTGAATAATCAATTCTTTCTTCACTGAGATAAAATGCCACTATTATTATATAAAATTTTATGGCCTAGCTACATTTTTCATTTTGTTCCATTGATTTATCTGTTAGGGTTTGTATCAGTACCATCTTGATTACTGTGATATTAAACTACATTTTATAAATTATACTCCATTGCTGGCCAGTGTGGCTCAGTTGGATGGAGCATCATCCTGTACACCAAAAGGTAGCGGGTTCGATTTCCGGTCAGGGCACATACCCATGTTCTGGGTTTGATCCCCCCAGAAGGCAACTGATCAATGTTTCTCTCTCTTGCTCTCACCCATCCTCTCTAAACACAGTAAAAAATAAAGTAAAAAAAAACACAAAAAAACAAAAAAATTATACTCCATAGCTCTATAGCCTTGAACACATTACTTGACATTTTGGGTTCTCAATTTCTTTATGTGTAAAATTATTCCTATTTTATCTGTAATTATGACTTCCTTTTTCTTCCTAATACTGTATACTTGTGTTTGAAATTTTTTCTTGAACTTTATGTACATTATTAGGTTTTTCCATGAAGCCATAGTTCTGATCATCTTTTTCATTTCATTCATTTCTGCTTTTATTTTATTATTTACCTCCTTAACATTTGTGGTAATTTATTTTTTCCTTATTTCTTGAATTGAAAGCTTAGCTCATTAATTTTGGGATCTTTGTTTTTGTTACACTTTAGCCCATCAATTCTAAGATCAACCCTTTCCACAGTTTGCAGCTCTGAAGTTGAATTGGTCTAACCAGTGCTGTGGGCCCAGGGCCAGGTGTGAAGTAGTCATAAGCTTTGCTGTATGAGCAGTGAACAATGCAGAAAGTGTGTCTGCCGCTTGGAAGAAAGTTCCAGAGGCAGGAGAGGAGCACTCATTTAGAAAGGCTGCATCACCCATGTTTTTTTGCAACCGAGGTCAATGTGGGTGTAAAATGTGGACATCAGTGATTGAGTTGAAAAGTGAGTCAGTAATCAGATATTCAAACGTGAGTATGGTTTGGAGAATGCCTTAACCAATTTATTTTGCATATATATATATATTTAGATATGCACGTGAGTGATATGTGATTAAAATCTCTAAATAAGTCTAAAAGAGTGCTTCAATAAGTATAAAATAAAAATTCTAAGTGGCAAAGCATTGTGCCATAGTTTATTATTACTTATTTTTAATATATCTTTATTGGTTTCAGAGAGAGGAAAGGAGAGGCAAAGAGAGATAGAAACATCAATGATGAGAGAATCATTGATCGAGCCCGCAACCCGGGCATGTGCCCTGACCGGGAACTGAACCCCATTCGCCTGGATCCCAGGTCGACGCTCAACCGCTGAGCCACGACTGGCCGGGCTGTGCCATAGTTTAATTGGCAGCCTTTGGTTTTTTTTTGGCTAGTTCTCACCTGAGGATATTTTTTCCATTTATTATTTAGGGAATGTGGAAGGGAGAGGGAGAGACAGAGAGAGAGAAACTTTGACGTGAGAGAGACACGTCAATTGGTTGCCTCCCGCGCGTGTCCTGGCCCGCAGCCGGGGTACCTGCCCTTGGCTGGAATCAAACCCCAGGCCCTCAGTCTGCGGGCTGATGCTCTAACCACTGAGCCAAACCAGCTAGGGCGGCAGCCTTTGTTTTTTGTGGTGCATAAAATAATAATGCTATTACAGTGGATGGTGTCTTGTATTCAGTGAAATACAATATATACATCTATGGCTCACGTTTCTAATTACTGCTTTTGTTGAATCCCACAAGTTCTGCTATATAGTACTTACGTTGTTGCTCATTAAGCACTCATGCTTTCCATTACGATTTCTTCTTTTATATGAAATATTTACAAGTGTGGTTTGAGTTTCCAAGCTTATGGATGCTTTTTGGCTGTCTTTTATTATTGATTTCTAACTGTATTGCATTGTGGTCAGAGAGTGTGGAATGTGTTATATTTGTTGACTCTACTTTTGAGGCTCAGTATATGGCTTTCGGAGACCTGTGCTCTCCGCTCCATAGCTCTGCTCCTTTCTCACCCCTCCACTGGGCTCCACTCCATTCCAACTGTTTACACCTTCCCTGTGTCTGGAGCTGCTCTGGGCCCAGCAGCATGTTCCAGAACAGTATGTTCTTCCCACACTTGGCTGGCCCTGAGAATCAATCACCTGAGGTGCTTCTTCAGTCCAGAGGCTGTGCTCCAACCACTAAGCCAAACCAGCCAGGGCTACCTGAGGTGGTGCTTAAACACACTGATTCCCAGGTCTTCCCTGGTAGGTCTGGGTCAGAGCCAGGGAACCTGTATGTTTTTGAACAAGGGCCCCCACCCAAGGTGGTTCTCATGACTAGCAAATGGGGGATACCAGGCAGCTGGGAATCAGGAGGTGGGTAGATGCAGTGCTGGGATGGAGCTAGACTTGCAGAGGAGGAAAGTCAGTGCCAAATGTGAGCTTAAGAGCTACTGGGGGAGGAGAACTTGTTAAAAATGCGGGTCCCCAGGCCTCACTTAGAGAGTTCTAATTCAGAGGGTCTGCGATGGAATTCGGGGATCTATACTTTTAATTCTGATGCAGACAGTCCTTAGGCCCTACCCTGAGAAACCCTAGAATCGAGATAGTGTGAGGGGAGGAAGTAGCTCGGCTGGTCTTCAAATGTTGTAGAATCACAGGGAATCCTCATAAGAGTCAAGGGTTTGGTGACAGGGTTGGGACTTGACAAAATGCAAAAGATGTGATCCACTTGCTATATGAATTTGAGAGGGAGCCGATCAGAAATGAATAAGAAATTGTCTGAGTAGCAGTCCCACCGAGAGATGATGGGAGTTTGCAGGTGGCCCGTGGTATAAACTCTGTGCATGTGCAGCATGAGACTAGGGAGGTGGAACAGCAGTCAATCTAAAGATGCACTTAAGAGCCAGAGAAGTCTGAATCTTATTTCTTGTAATTTTCTTATAACCAGGCGTTACATTGTGTCTATTGAGCTCCTATGCTCTATGAAGTTATGCATAAAGAAATGCACTATCCATTTATCTGACATTTTAAAAAATGAATGGACAAGGCACACGCTTATATACAGTGATGAGAGAACAGCTTGTCTTTCACAAAGCAGTAACTGTATAGCAGAGTGAAGACAATAAATAAACTCCTCTGACAGTTGCAGGACTCCCTTACTTATAATTGTGGGTGACTGGAGAGTTATAATTTTTTTCCATTTATTGAAATCTGTTTTGTGCCAGGTCCTGTTCTGAGTGCTACTAAGATGACTAAGACACAGTTCGTGGGGAAGTTGTGCGCATAAAAGAATGACGACACTGATACTGTTGTAATTAGCTAGTTATGAGTAACTGGCAAGGAGCAAAGGGTAGGCCAGGTATTACAGGAGTGCCCAATAAAGTCTGGGTGAAACAGGGATGGCACTTGCCTGTTAGTCACTCGTGGGAACAGGTCATTGGCCAGAGTAGGCGTGGCCACTGCAAGGGTGGGAAGATTTGAGGTTCTTAAGCTCCTAAACAAAGGAGTTCTTTCCCTTGGTTCTCTTGGGATCTCGTTGCAGGGGGCACGCTTGCTTGGCTCCCCTGCATTTGCCCACATGGCTCACAGCCATGTGGACCCCATACAATGGGCCGATGGACTGTAACTAGCTTATTGCTGTACTGGACTCAGCTCCACCATGGAAGGGAAAGTTTGGACACTGGTGTTGCTTTTAGCTCTGCTGAATCCCCAGCTGCACATCTTCAGGGACTGGATTAAGGGACACGGGACTTTGCAAACCCATTCCACACAAATAAAAATCACTCATTCTCCCATGGGAGTCTTAGAAAATTCTTTTTCTCAGGATATCGTAAGAACCCCATTCCCACTAGCCATGGAGAAAGACTATCCACACATTTCTCCAATAACTACAGTGTGAGGGGAACCCATGCAAGTTTTTGAAGACAATTCTGTGTGTTGTGGTCACCAGCTATATTCATTAGTCTTTCTATGAGCAGATTCTTTGGAAAATTGTATTGAAATGCTCAGTAAATGTACAGTGATATATAACTTGAGTCAGATCTTATCTCTTTTACTTAGGTCAGAGTAGACTAACTATGTGGAGATGCAAGCAGTCTAGCATAGTGGTTAGGATTTTAGACTGTAGTGTCATATGAACTGTGATCAAATCTGGGCCAAGGTGTTTTTTTCTATGTGATTTTAGGCAAGTTCCTTAACCTTCTGAACCTCAGTTTCCTCACCTGTGAAATGAAAAAGTAATACCTATGTCTGTGGGTAGTCATGAGAATTAAATGGGCAAATGTGTGTAAGGTGCCAATACTCAGTATACAATAAATGTTAATTTAAAAATTATAATCTAGGGAACAAGACAGATTGGAAAGTATTTTCATTAATGTAGCCAAATGATGATATCTATGTGTTGCAGGTACTAAACACAAGGATTTTCTGGAATCTAAGGGATGCTTTGCCAACACAACGTCCTCTGGCCAGAGGGTCAGCCCCTCATCTTCTGTTGTTACAAGTCCAAGTGTCAGTGAGTCTCCAGGCCCCTGCAAAGTGTCTGCTCACTCAGAGTAAGTAAGGGTCCAGTGAAGAGCCATAGACAGTGGGGCAAATTCTGACCAGGGAGCCAACAGTCTGATAGGTAGCTTGACATCTCCGACAAGAGGATGGATTCTGGGGCCAGACTGGCTTAAAATCCCAGCTCTACCAATTAGCATCTCTGTGATCTTGGGCAAGTGATTAGATGACTCCCTGGCTGTGCAAGTGCTTGCTTTTATAAAGTTCAAAAGCAGGTGAAACTAAACTATATTTTTAAGGACTACGTATGTACATACATAGGTGGTAAATCTTATAGAAAAGCAAAGAAATGATTACTATGAGGGTTAGAGTCAGGATAGTGCTTCCCTCTCCAGGAAAGGGACACAGACGGTGCCTGGGGAATGGGAGGGGATGGGTGGCCTTGTTTTGTTTGATTCTTGTCGTGGATGTTGGCTTTATAATTATTTATAAAATTGTATTTATATTTTATGGTTTATATACTTTTCTCTGTTTATATATCTTTTACAGTAAAATTTTTGAAAACCTTATTCTGACAAATTTTGTTATAATGAAAGTAATTCAATTTGTTGTAAAAATTTTGAAAATATAAAAGCAGTATTTAAAAAATCACAATAACTCCACCTCTTAGAGAATCAATGTTAACATTTTGATGTTTTTAATATGCATAAGAAAGACTTCTATTTCTTTCTTATGCTCATAAATATATATTTATTTGACACAATTAAGATCATATTATACTACTCTTTTTTTTTTTTTTTAAATATATCTTTATTGATTTCAGAGAGAGGAAAGGAGAGGGAGAGAGAGAGATAGAAACATCAATGATGAGAGAGTCATTGATAGAGCCCGTGACCCGGGCATGTGCCCTGACCAGGAATCAAACCCCAATCGCCTGGATCTTAGGTCAACGCTCAACCGCTGAGCCACACCAGGCCGGGCTATACTACTCTTTTTAAAACCTGCTTTTTCCCACTCTGTATTTACTCTTCCACAGTCACCTATTTATCTGTCCGTGTCCTCTGCCCCTCGACTCTAAGCTCCTTGAGAGCAGGGACTCTGTTTGGATGCCCAGTGTCTGGAACAGTGCTTGCCACAAAATGTCCTCGGATAAATGTTTGTTGACTAAACAAAGTAGGTGAATACTTCTAAAGTTGTTCTGGAAAGTCTCCTTTATCCTTGCAATCTTTTTTACACAATTTGTTCAGCAAAGCCTTTCCAAAAATATTTAGGAGAGATTTATTTCACTCCGATGTCAAAATTATCACATGTTCTGAACTGGGGGGCTCTGAGTTATTGCATTTTTTTTTTTTTTGCTCTACCTGCATACTACCAAAGTTCAAAGATACAGTATGTTATTTAAAACGTGTGCATTATTGAGCTAGTGTTCGTTACACTTTTCAGGCAACGTAGTCCAGAGTGAGGCTGCAGATCAAGCTCTAGGCCCTGCCTCGGCGTGTTTTACCCTTTGCTCCTCTGAAGGTCTATTTCCTTTTTCAAGTGGAAATGGTTCTGCATCGTTAGATTGTTGGTAGGGAGCAAACACAAGCAATATAAAGTTGCTTTGAAACTATTCAAATACAAGTGTGATGTAACCTTACGGAAAAAGAGCCTCTGTTTGGTAACAGATAACTATACGTGAAAACACTGGCCAAGGCCATCTATCACCCACAAAACCACTTAAACTGGAAGCGATTGCGTTTGCTGCTGACACCCACAGCACTTTGATGTAGGCCCTTTGTTACCGGCTGAGCTGCCAGGAAGTTCAGCACCAAACATAATGCTCTGTTATTATAACCATTTCAGTCTAGGTTTGTTTTAATATCCCATCGTGTATACAGGAGACATTTTGTTTACCCATTCATCTGTTGATGGACATTTGAGGTGTTTCTACTTTTGGGCCTTCGTGAGTACCGCTGCGATGAATATTTATATACATATATCTGTTTGAGCCTCTGTTTTCAAGTCTTCTTCTTTCTTTTTAATACTCATCTGAGTATCTGTTGGGGGAGAGAGGGAGAGAGAGATCGGTGTGAGAGAGAAACATTGATTGGTTGCCTCCTCTACGTGCCCTGACCTGGGATCGAACCTGCAGCCCAGGTATGTACCCTGACAGGGAATCGAACCTACAGTCGTTTGGCGTAGGGGACAATGCTCCAACCAACTGAGCCACCTGGTCAGGCCTCTGTTTTAATTCTTTTGGGTATGCCCTAAATGCCTGGGAGTAGACTTCCTGGGTTGTATGGTAACTCTATATCTAAATTTTTGAGAAACCACTGAACTCTTCTTAAGCATGCAACTTTTGAATATGTTTTAGTCTCTCGAATTGTGAATAAATAAGTCATATGCTCATGGATGTGTATGAAAGAGTAGGCCTCGTTGTCATAAGTGAGGGTAATTCTAGTGTGGGATGTGTAAGATCAGGTTCTCAAAACCAGTTTAAGCACATGGGCGAATCTAAGCCTTCTGCTTCCTTTCCAGCCCTGCTGCAGATTTGGATCTGAAATCCTCCTGCTCACATTCTGATCACTCCTCTGAAACCTCACTGCCTGAAATCCAAAAGGATAAATATCTCGGGGAATTTAGCCTGCTAAAGTTGCAGACAAGTAAGTCAGCCCTAGGTCTTCCTCCACGTGCCTCCAAGCCCAGGGTCTTTCCAGAAGTCGGCCGTACTGTTGGGCACCATGCACTGAAGACCCACTGCGTGCTAGGCATTCAGCGTTCTTCATCTCTAACTCTTACAACAACTCTGCTGGGGAAAACATCATCACATGTTTTTCAAAAAAATGAAATGCCTTTATATAAAAACCATAAAAGAACTGTATCAAAATGCTAAAATAATAAAGCGTCAGCCCTCGAACTGAAGGGTCTCGGGTTCAATTCTGGTCAAGGGCACATACCTCAGTTGAAAGCTTGATCCTGGGCCCTGGTCAGGGCGCGGGCACCCAATCGATGTGTTTCTCTCACATCGGTGTTTCTTTCTCTCTCCCTCCATTTTACTCTCTCTGAAAAGCAATGGAAAAAAAATATCCTCTGGTGAGGATTAAAAAAAAAAAAGTTGCGGGTTTGATTCCCTACCAGGGCACATACCTAGGTTTCGGGTTCGATCCCTGCTCAGGGCATATATGGGAGGCAACTGATCGATTTTTCTCCACATTGATGGTTCTCTCTCTCACTCTAATCAATATAACATATCCTTGGGTGAGAATAAGAAAAAAGAAGTCTATAAAATATATAAAGAAACCCCGTCCCCAGTATTCTCCAACAATGTCCCCACTCTGCCCGATAGCTGTGAAGAGTTTAGTACATACACTATTCTTCCAAAATGTTGACATGCACATGTGTTTGTATGTATAGATATGCGGGTTGCTTTTCACTAGTAGAAAATAGTATACAAACTTTTCACTCAAAGTAGATAGATCCTGGACCTTTTTCTTTCTTTTTTTTTTTTT